AGCCCTTGAAGGAATGTAAGAAAAAGAGATGATGCCGGCCAAAAATTGGTGCCGGACAAAGTGGAAATCTAACTCCACATGCTTAGTACGCTCGTGAAAGATCGGGTTTTTCGCGATGTGGATGGCTGCCTGACATCGGAGAGTAGATCTACGGGTAGGGGAGGAGAAATGGAAAGATCATAGAACAAGCGTATTAGCCAGGTAACCTCAGCAGTAACTCTACGCATAGATCTGTACTCTGCTTCAGCGGAGGATAATGATACGGAGGTTTGTTTCTTTGATTTCCAGGAGACGGGAGAACCCCCAAAGCTGATAAAGAATCCGCTAATAAACTTGCGAGTTTGAGGACAAGAACCCCAATCTGAGTCACAGAAAGCAAGGAGCTGATAATCAGGCTTTGAATTCAGAAAAAATCCCTAATCCTGGTTCCTTTAGGAGATACCGGAGAGAATGAAAAGCAGCATCTAAATGGGGTTGACAAGGTGTTGGCATGAATTGGCTGAGGTGCTGCACTGCAAAGGACAAGTCTGGCCTGGTATGTGTTAGGAAATTCAGTTTTCCTAACAAGCGACGATAAAAGGTAGGATCTTGGATGGGAGTTCATGTGTCTGCTTTCAATTTCTGAGTGGGATCCAAAGGAGAAGAAGTTGCTCGCATGCTCAAGCATTCGAATTCAGACAAAAGATCTAAGGTAAATCGTCTTTGAGTCAAAATTATGCCTTGTGTTTCCCTGATGATTTCAAAACCCAAAAAATAATGTGCATCCCCTAGATCCTTTATTTGAAATTCAAAGTGTAGGAAAGATTTGAGGGCTTCTTGTTCAGTAGAATCATCCCCTGTAATTAAAAGATCATCAATGTAGACTGCAACTATGGTAATCTTTCCTGCTGATTTTTTAAAGAACAAAGAATAATCATTTAGAGAGTGTGAATATCCTTTAAAATTCAGTGCTGCAGTGAGCCTTGCATACCATTGCCTTGAGGCTTTCCGCAGTCCATAAAGAGACTTTTTCAAAAGGCAAACATGATTGGGTGAAGGTGGTGTGATCCCAGCTGAGAATTTCATAAACACTTCTTCCTGCAAATCCCCATGCAGAAAGGCATTATTCACATCCAATTGTGATACCTTCCAGCCCTTTGTAAACACCTAATTGTTGTCATCTTGACAATTGGGGAAAAAGTCTCATTAAAGTCTATTCCTTTTCTTTGGGTGTCTCCCCTTATAATCAAACGAGCTTTGAATCTCACTAAGGACCCATCAAACTTGTATTTCACCTTATAAACCCACTTGCAAGGTATAGCTCTCTTTCCCTTAGGTAGCAGTACAACCTACTAGGTTTTGTTCAGTGCTACAGCTTGCAATTCCTTTCCATTGCTTCCTGTCAACTAAGGGTGGCAAGTGGGCCGGTTAGGCCCGGGCCCGGCCCGGGCACGCGAGCCCATATGGGTAGTGGGCCTAAACGGGCCTACCCGTTTAAGCCCGGGACCAGGAGGTTTGAGGCCTAAGTGGGCCGGTTCAAAGAATATGCCTATTAGGACCAGGACCGGCTCCTAAGTGGGCCGGTTCAACCGGTCCTAACCGGTCCCAAACGGTCCTAAATGGGCCCAACGGCTAAATTTTAAAAAAAAATCTCTTTTAAAAATCTGACCGTTGCACCTTTAAAAAATAGTCGTTATGGCTGCCAAAATAGCCGTTGGCTATTTATAAAATAGCCATTTAACCCCCCTGACTTTGTTTTAGCCCCAAACTTTTTATAATTACACTTTTTTCCTATTTTCAACTATAAATACCCCCTCATTCTTTCATTTTTCTTCACCAAATCATCAATCTCTCTCAATATCTCTCTAATTTTCTTCTAAAATTGGTTACTTTGTTGTTGCAACTTGTGTGAAAAATTGTGAAGTTGGTGAATTGAAGTCTTCAAGTCGTCAGCGATAATTAATTTCAACAAGTTGTTCGTCAATTCGGTAAACTCGTTCCAACTCTTTAGTTTTAATATTATATTTTTGTTTGTTTTATTTAATTACTTTGTATAATTATAATTAAGATGGCATATTCCTTAAAAAATTGTTTAGTAAAAATAAGAAAATCCAAGAGTGGTGAATCTAGTGGCCAATCTATTCCTCCTCTAATTCCCCGGCCTCCCCTACCCAAACCCCATACCCGCCCTCCACCTGCTCCTATTCTTGATAGTGATAATACTTTATTACAATTTACGGAGAGTTAATATGTGCATAATGTTGGTTGTGGTGAACGCTTAGATGATGAATATATGAACAACCTTTATGGTAATCCAACTATAGATGAAGAAGATGCGCAGGAAATATATTTAGATGAAACGCAATCGGATGATGATACACCCACTAGTCCTGTTACTCAAGTTAACCCAACTAATCCAAATGATGCCTCGGTTGACCCCCCTGTTACTACCCCTACTTTTCCTAGACAACCTTCTAAACGGGCCGAAACATCTCTTGTTTGGCTATTTTTTATTCAAATAAGAGAAAAATAAAGCTAACTGTAAAACTTGTGGCAAAGAGTTAGCCTTTAACTATGTTGGGGGGAGGGGGGAGGGAGTTTGAGGAGACACATAATGATACACCCTCAAGATAAAGCTAAATTTTTTCAAATGAAAGTTGCGGCCGGGAGGGGGGGCAAGTCCAACTAGTCAGCCTGACCCTAGTACCGGGTCAAATCAATTTCAACCGGGAATTAACACTATTACCGGTGGTATTTTATAAAAAGATAGGGAAGAATGGCAAAAATGGTTACTGTTATGTGCTTAACCTATAGTTTTCCGTCTAACCCCCACTTTGTGCATTATATTAGAAAAGTTTTTAATCCTACTTATAAAGGATGGCCTCGCACAACCGTAAAGAGCGATATTTATAAATATAAACATGAATATGAACAATATTTGCGCTATTTATTTGCTCATATTAATTGTCGTGTTGCTATTACCACTGATATTGGTAGAAGTAGTAGTGACTGTGATTACCTTACTGTTACAAGTCATTGGATTGATGAGGACCGGATAATGCAAAAGCGCATTATTGCTTATAGAATAATCAATTCACGTCACACAGGGCAGTTTATTTCTAGCACTGTTACGGATATTTGTAGATATTTTTGCATTAGTGACAAGATAATGTCAATTTTAATGGATATGCTACTAGTAACACTAATGTTGTAGCCTTGCTTACCACTACACTAAATCCTACATTTAGTAACATTTTTCATGTTAGATGTATTTGTCATATTTACCAATTAATTGTGGGTGATGGTATGAGAATTTTAAATGTTGAAATTGAAAAGGTTAAAATGGCTCTTAACTGGATTTTTTATTCAAACCGTAGAAGTAGACTTAGAGAATATTTTAAAAGATGCGATGAATTTGGCCTAAGAGAAAGAAAGGTTCCTAAAGCTTGTCCAACTAGATGGAATTACATGTATGAACGTTTATTGTTGCATATGAATATAGAAACCCCATAAACTCAACGTTTAATGCTCATGTAAGTGATGATGATGAGCACCTTACAAATGGGGATTGGGCTAATGTTAAAATGCTTGTAGATTTTTTAGAAAGCTTTCATGTTGCTACAAATGAATTTTCTGGGCAATATTATCCTACTATTTCGAACTGTTTAGTTTATCTTGCAGATCTTGCAAATTTGTTTGCTCATTTTTCAGAGGGTGGAAAAATTTATGAAGTAGCTATTGATTCTATGAGAAAGATATTTAAAAAATATTTTTTCCCTATTCCCCTTATTTATGGTATTGCTGCCTTGTTAAATCCTACTATGAAATTAGGTGGTCCTCAATATTGGTATCGATCTATTTATAATGGTTTAGCACTTGCACCTGAGGAGTTCTCTACACTTTCAGATGCACAAGCCTCAATTAAAATAAATGCTCCAACTATTTATAGTGCTTATCAAATTGCACTAGATAATGCTAGACCAGATATTCCAACTCTTTCTTCTTCTAGTTCTCAATCATCTAAAAGAACTGCAGGAGTAAGAGCACTTGCTTCTTGGACCGAGTTCAGGGGTTCTCAAGGTTGTACCACTAGTGATTGTTCACAACTAAATGAGAGGGACTTGAGCAGGAGAATCCCGATGGCTCATTTAATATTTTGGAATGGTGGAAGGGCAAAGAAAAATACTTTCCATTCTTTTCAAGGATGGCTCGAGATATTTTAACCATTCAAGCTTCAACAGTGGCATCGGAGAACGCTTTCAGTCAAGCAAGACTACAACTCGGTGATTATAGAGCGTCTATGTGGGCAAGGCCCGAACCTTGATGGATTTATGAAATTTGTAAGAGATACCATGTAAAATTAATATGTAACTTGTATTTTGGTACATCTTGATTAGTTTCTTTTTCTTCTCAATGGTGGTATTAGCACCTTGGTTGTGCTCATTCCATTGGGGGGATGAGGGGTGGAAGCTAAGAAAGATTGGGTCATGTTTTCTTAATGTTATAATAATAAAAATTATAACGCATTCCTTTGTATATCTTTTTACAATATTTTGTGTTTTAAAATTAAAAATTTTTAAGTCACAATTATATAATATAATTTACAAGAAAATGCTTAGATAAAAAAATTTAAACAAATAAATAGCCCCACATATATATATATATATATATATATATATATATATATATACATATAAGCAATTTATATAGTATATACGCATATTATAGATATAGATATAGTATATATAATATACATAAGCTATATAATTTACAAGAAATTGCCTTAGATAAAAAAAATTTAAAAAAAAATAGTCAAGGCTCATTTAGGCCCGTTTAGGATCGGGCCTTGCCCACATAGCCCGGGACCATTACTAACTGTCCCGGTCTGGTTACACCCAAAAGCCCATGAAGCCTGGGTCCGTTTAAGCCTGGCCCACGAAGACCGGGTCTGTTTAAGCCTGGACCGTTTAAGCCCGGACCGCGAAGCCTGTTTGGGACCGGGCCCGGACCGTTTGCCAACCTTACTGCCAACCAGGGTGTAATGATGCTTGAGAATAGGAAGAAGGTTCAGTAAGATAGGAAGTAGAATTGAGCATAGATTGATTTGTAGAAAAAAGAGTTGTGAAGGGTAAAACAGTAGGCTGAATGGGTGGAGTGAAGCAGGAAGTTGTGAGATCTGTTAGAAAAACTGAATTGCACACATAATCCTGGAGATAGGAGGGTGGATTATGTGGTCTAGTGGATTTTCTGACTTCAGGAAGGCTTATAGGAACATGTGATACAGTAGATGATCTAGATGATAAGGTAGGACTTGTGGCTGTGGTTGAAGGAAAGTGGCTTGAGTTGCTTGGGTTAGAAAAGGTAGGCACTGAGGGTGAGGGTGAATTAGGAATTCCTGGCTCAACTTCAGTATGTTCTGAGGAGTATTCTGCACTTTGGTCTAGGTGTGTGGTGACGGGGAAGAAGGAATTTATAGGTTTAGTAGTGGAGGCAAAAGGGTACAGATTTTCATAAAAGTACACATCTCTGGAGACTCTCACTCTTCTTGTATCCAACTCTAGAACTTTGTATCCTTTCTGCCCCAATGGATAACCCAAGAACACACAGGGTTTTGCCCTTGGATCAAATTTACTTCCTCCAGCAACTAAGGTAGATGCATAGCAAAGACAACCAAAGCATTTCAAAAAATCATAAGAGGGTTCCTGTTTGAATAGAACAAAATAAGGTGTCTTTCCTTTGAGGACCCTAGAAGGCAGTCTATTGATCAAATAAGTTGCAGTTAGAACATATTCTCCCCAATAAATATTAGAAAGCTTAGGCTGAAACAATAAGGCCCTTGCAATTTCCAATAGATGTCTGTGCTTCCTCTCAACCACTCCATTCTGTTGAGGGGTTGCCACACATGATGTTTGATGTAGTATTCCTTGAGAAGCTAAAAATGCTGCCTCCTGAGTGCCTTTCCCAAGCTCAAAAGCATTATCTGACCTTATCTTTTGTACCCTTACACCAAACTGTCTTTCCACCATGATGAGGAAATTTTTTAGAAGACCAAAAGCATTGCTTTTGGTGCTCATAAGGAAATTCCAAACTGCCCTGCTATAGTCATCAACAATAGTCAAAAAATACTTAAAACTATTATAAGTTGCTTCCTTGTAAGGTCCCCAAACATCTACATGGATTAACTCAAATACCCTTATTGATTTAATATGGCTTAAAGGAAAGGAGATCTGGTTTGCCTAGCCTTAGGACAAATTTGACAGAAACATTTAGAATTAGAAGGTAAGGAAATGAAACTGAGATGTTTGATTGATGAAAAGGGAAAATGCCCTAACCTAATATGCCAAAAGCTTGCATCTGAAACTGAACTTGCTGAAACAGGAAAAGAAACTGTCAACTGATTAAAAACATCTCGATTTAAAACAGAAATTGGTTCCACACTTGTGCTAGGTTTGATTCCACTTGGCTCCAAAAGGTATAGTCCATCCCTTGCCTTACCAAAAACTTGTGCCTTCTTCACTAAAGGCCCCTGCATCTTACAGTGACTAAAAGTGAAGAAGAGAATAGAATGAAGTTGTAAACAAAACCTGTTAACAGATAATAGATTGTATCTGAAACTAGGTACATGTAAAACATTTTCCAAAATGAAGTTAGGCTGAACAAATATTCTTCCTATGTGGGTTACAATGACTTTGAAAGAATTGGGCACATTTATTTTAGGGGGACTAGCAGGGTTGTCAAAGAAACAAAAGCACTTGATTCAAAACACATGTGTTGAGATGCACCAGCGTCAATAATCCATGTATTAGTATTAAAAATTGAAAGGCAAGTTCCAGAACATCTAGCAATAGTACCAGCAACAGCATTAGCATTGATATTATTTCCAGAATTGCTTGAGTCTCCTCCCTTGACCTGTTTGATTAATTGAACTAACTGTGTGAACTGATCATGTGAAAGGTGTTGATTGAGTGCTTCATTGTTATTGGTTCCATCAGGTTCTTTTCCTTCAACTTGGAATGCCCCATTGCTTCTAGTCTGTGTTTGATTTCCTCTTGTGAACTCGAAATCTTCCGAAAAATATATAATCATGTAACAATAACTGACAGTATGCCCTACTTTCTTGCAATGACTGCATGTTACATTAGGGTTGAACTTAGCTTTCCTTCCGTTGAGAGTTGTGCTTCTTTGAGTAGTTCCCCTTTGGTTGCCATTTCCAAACTTATGGTTTCCTGACTTTTGATACTGCATTTGATTCCTTTGCATCTGTCTTACTCCTCTTTGTGCAAAGTTGTTCTGATTTGTGATCATGAAAGACGAAGATTCTATGGAGATTAGTGGGTCAGCAAAAACTTTTTTTTGGCTCTCATCTTGCAACACTAGGGAATATGCATGATTGATGGTTAGTAGAGGTTCATCATCAGGATGGTTCCCCTTGTTTGACCATAGCTATCATTTAGACCCATTAGAAACTGAATAAGTCTTTCATCCTCTATTGATTTTCCAGTTTTTGCTTCTCTTCACATGTACATAAGCAAATGCACCTTACATCACAGTTGTGTTAACCCTGATAATTCCTTCCTTAGATGATAGAGCTTAGCTCCATTTGACTGTCCAAACCTATGTTCAAGGCTGCTCTAGAGATCTCTAGCAGATTTAGAGTAAATGACATTGTCTCCTATGTTTTTGGACAGTGAGTTAAGTAGCCAAGATGTTACCATGTCGTTACATCTGCTCCAAGCCTGAAAATGTGAGGAGTTAAGGGATGGAGGAGGGCAAGTATGTCACGGCCCAAATCTCAGACCCGGCCGTGATGGCGCCTCTCGTGAAGACAAGGCCAGCCAAAACAACTCAAACACCTCTTTTAGCAATAATTTAGTCATTAATAATTCCAAACGCGTGTAAAGCAATCGCAAATGCAGAAAACAGCGATAATAATAAGGAAACCAACCCGACACAGCCCAAACCGGGATGTCACAAGTCATGAGCTACTACAAAGTTGCTATAAGTCTACGAAATAGAATATCTGATACAATAGTCAGAAAGAACTGAAATAACATAAGATAGGGGAGTCAAGGGGCTGCGGACGTCAACAGCTACCTCGAAGATCCAACTCGCTGCCTGGTCTGGGAAGAATATCAGTGCTCAGGTGCGGACTCTGCTATGCCTGAATCTGCACGCATGGTGCAGGGAGTAATGTGAGTACTCCGACCCAGTGAGCAATAATAATAAATAATAACTGAAGGTAAGAAAACACATAACAACACAAGGCAATTCTATATCAGGCAGTAAATCACTTAAAGCAGTAAAATCCGGAAATAGTCATATGAAATCTCATTTTTAAAGACAGGTAAATCAGGTAAGACAGCAGATAAATAGTGAGTAGTAAAACTGCCCCTCGGGCCCAGTATCAATCTCTCGGTACCGTAACAGCCCCTCGGGCTCAATCTCAGTCACTCAGCATAGTATCAGCACCTCGAGCTCACTCTCAAATCACATGGGTACCCGCGCTCACTGTGGGTGTGCAGGCTCCGGAGGGGCCCCTTACGGCCCAAGCGCTATATCAACATAAGGCCTGAAAGCCTTCTCACATCATACATAAGGCCTGAAAGCCTCCTCACATCACACTCGAGGTCTGAAAGCCTCCTCACATCACACTCAACGCCTGAAAGCCTCCTCACATCACACTCAAGGCCTGAAAGCCTCCTCACATCACACTCAAGGCCTGAAAGCCTTCTCAGTCCAGGAAACATCATAAGCCCCTCGGGCTTCAATAAAATAATAGTGCTCAGCCCAAACAACAGCGAAAATATCATTAAAGTCTCAAAATTCAATTAAAGCGGCCGAGTTTGTAAAATAGTATAATCATTAGGACTGAGTTCAAGTAATATATCAAAATAGTGAGGAAACAGTGATAACAATCCCTGAAGGATTCAAATAGTTGGCATTAAGCCCAAAATATGGCAATAAGCCCAAATCATGATGATAAACTAAACAGCTCAATCAAAAATGCGATAAAATACCAAACGGGACGGACCAAGTCACAATCCCCAGTAGCAAACAACCCCGCGCTCGCCATTAAGCGCGTGTTTCACCTTAATACAGCACTACGTTGTGCAAATCCGGGGTTTCAAACCCTCAGGATATCATTTACTATCATTACTCACCTCAAGCCAGCCAAAATCCTAGCTCGCTATACCCTTGCCTCGCAAATCGACCTCCTCGCGTCGAATCTGATCAAAACCACAACGAATACGTTACAATAAGCTAAGGGAACATAACCCAATCGAAAAGACTCGAAAAATATCGAAATTCACGAAATTTGCAAAACCTGAGCCCCGGGCCCACATCTCAAAAATCAAAAAATTTAACATCATCGGATTCCTTATCTCGCCACGAGTCTATACATACCAAAAACTCCCAAATCCGAGCCCAAATGACCCATCAAATCCCACTTTGAAATATCAAATTCCAAGCCCTAGCTTTTCCCCCTTTTTGATGAATTTTCATAAATTTGTAGGTTAATTCTACCATTAAATCATGTATTTAGGTCATAGAACTCACCTCCAATCACACCCAGTCGAAATCCCCTTCAATTCTCGTCCGAAAGCTCACAAGGATGTTCAAAAATGGGGGGAAAATGCCTTAGCTCGCGGAACAAAATGAAACTTTTAAAAACCTTTCTGCCCAGACATTTTCGCTTCTGCGATCCTCTAACCGCTTCTGCGGTTTCCGCTTCTGCGGAATTTCCCCTGCTTCTGCGGAGCTTTACTATTTTATCAGGACCTCTTATGCGGTCTAAATCCGCTTCTGCGGACACTGCTTCTGCGGACACCTGCCCGCTTCTGCGGAAAATCCTAATGGCCCATGACCCATGTCCGCTTCTGCGGTTCCATCACCGCATTTGCGACACCGCAGATGCAGCTCCAAGCCCGCATCTGCGAAAAACTAACTCCTTAAGAAACTCAAACCTGCGACTCCCCTTCCGCATCTGCGGAGCCTCATCTGCGATCCCTTTTCCGCAGATGCGGAAATACCAGAACTAGCAAACTTCTGAAATGCTACAAGTCCAAAATTCATCCCGATGGCCATCCGAAATCACCCCGAGGCCCCCGGGACCTCAACCAAAAGTGCCAATCCATCCTAAAACATCATTCAAACTTGCTCCAATCATCAAAACACCTCCCCCAACACCAAGACCATCAAATTACAATCGGATTTAAGCCTAAGTTCTTCTAAAACTTGCGAAACACGCATTTGATCAAAAACCCGACCAAAACACCTCCTAATGACCTGAAATTTTGCACAAATATCCCAAATCACCTAACGAAGCTACAGCAACTTTCGAAGTTCCATTTCGACCCTCGGATCAAAATCTCACCTATCAACCGGAATTCGCCAAAAATACTAACTTCGCCAATTCAAGCCTAATTCTACACCGGACCTCCAAAACCAATTCTGATCACGCTCCTAAGTCACAAATCATCCCCCGAAGCTAACCGAATCACCGAAAATCACATCCGAGCCCTCTAAATCATAAGTCAACATCCGGTTGACTTTTCCAAACCAAACCTTCCTTAAAGAGACTAAGTGTCTCATTTCCTTCTAAAACCAATCCAAACCAACTCGATCACATGAGATACGGATAACGAAGCATAAAGATGCTGAAAACAGGGGAAAACAAAGCGGTAACTCACGTGACGACAGGTCGGGTCGTCACAAAGCACCATTGATGAATCCTATTTTGTTTTTAGCAGACAATGCTATGAGTATAGATCTTCTCCAACCTTGGAATCCTCTTCCATCAAAGGCTGTGTTGACAAGAGACATTCCTGGTGTATTAGAAAAATGGAGAAAATAGGCATGGTTTGAGTCGATGGTGGTGTTTCCTACAGTGGTGGTTTGACATACTGTTGTTTGAGTTATTAGCCATGACCTAGGACTGATATGAAGATGAAGAAGAAGAAGAATGAAGATGAAGGTGAAGGTGACTGAAGGATTGAGCATTCAGTGCACTGATACCATGAAGAAATATTTGAAGAGAAGACTGATGAGAAATTTTCTGTGTATTTCATTTCTTTCTATACATGTATATATACAAGATAAAAGAATCAAAATTTGTTACTCTACTCTACACGTGTTTCATTCATATTTGTGTATCTATAACTGCCTAGCTACTGTGTATAAAGAATAATAGCTACTATGTATTTATTTACATTGTTCACGTGCCCAGCAAGCACTAAAGAAACCACTATGTAAAGAATCCAAAGTGGATAGTTGTATTATATCAAACATTCCTAATTAAATCAACCATTATCTGATGAATGGTCTTGATCCTTAGCTGATCCTTGTATTTGAACGGTTGAGATGCATTGCACCGAAGGATAAGAAGTGTCTCTTGACCTCTGGTCAATATGACCAAGGTTTGTTTCGTTAAGACCAAAGTCTCTTAGGTTCCCTCTTCTTGTCTCTTCTTATTCCTATATAGTTCTCTCATTCATGGCGTCTGGTAGTAAACATACAACTCCAACATGAATTTACAGAATTTCCATAGGATTGTTGGTTTGTTAAGGTTCTTAGGTGTCACTGTTTGTTTCCTTTTTAGGTCTCTTTTCATTGTATTCAATGCATCAGAGAATTGAAATGAACTTTTTCTTTCTTCTTTAATTTATTTTCCTTCATTTTTGTTTCCTCGTTAACTTAGTAGCAGCCAGGCGGCTACAATTTTGGTATCCGAGTTTCTGATTCTGGCAATCGAAATGGTGGATAAAAGCGCAATCCGCCGGGTGATTATGGAGTTAAACGAGTAGAAGCTCAACTCCAAAGCTTCATTGATGAATCTGGAAAAAGAATTGATAGAATGGAAGAAAAGCAAGCAATCTATGAGACAAAAATGAAGGCACTGACTGATACTACCAGACATATTGAAGAGTTGCTGTTAAAAATAGATAGTCAAAGAAAAATTGTTGGAGTTCACTGAAGCTCATTCATGGAGGCTGGACAACCTTCAGTCGGGGGTAATATGAAAAACAATACCCCACATTTCTCCCCTAATTCAACTACTGAAAAATTTTCACTGTCAGCATCACCACCTGTACGTTGTACGTACACCCATTTCTAGCTCCACCACAAACCCTACTCTCAAACCGTCAAGGGGGCTTTCCATCCTATAACTAATTCATACCCCATGACCACACAAGCTGTCCAACCCATAAGCTCATTTCCTACATCTACTTAGAATTTTCTTCCCATGGGATCGTATCATA